GCGCCGAGCAGGCGGCGCCGGCGGCCAGCAGGCGGCCGCGCGTCGCCGTTGGCGGCGTACGCAGCGCGCGACAGGTTCCAGCTGCGGACGACGACCGCGCCGCCGCCGGGCGCGACGGCAAAGTCCGGGCGCGTGGCGGGCGGGTAGCGCTCCATGAGCATGGTGGCGTTGGCGGGGCTGCGGGTGGCGACCTTCAGATCAGACAGCTCGACGCCGCCGCCGCCGTCCAGGTCGAGCAGCCCCAGCAGCAGCGGATTATAGCTCGGCCACAGCGGGCCGCGCAGCACGGGCGCGGCGCTCGTCAGGGCCAGGCCGGGGCCCGAGAACGAGAGGCGCCCGCCGTCGGCGACGACCACTCGGGACACCATGTTGTTGCCGAGATCGAGCGTCAGGGTGCCGCCGCCGCCGCCGCTGCTGCCACACGCGACGACGGCGACGGGGCGGCGCAGCACGATGCGCGCCCGCCAGTCAAAGTCCGCGGGCTGCAGCGACACGTTGGCTGTGAGCACGATGCGCGCGACGGTCGCGCTGCGCAGCGCGGCGGCGAACGAGGCGGAGTCCGCGACGGGCGCGCTGCCGGCTGCGGCAGCCTGTGCGCAGGGTGTGGGCGCCCGCACAGGTGGGTGGGCGGCGCGTGAGCGGGCTACCAACCTTGCGCGCAAGTGCGACGAAAGGGCGGGCGGCGGGGTGACTCGCCACCATCTTCACCTCTGCGGCTCGTGTCCAGCACGCGCGCCGTGTCACAAGTAGCAAAACCTCCTCCGTCACTCACCTCTGAACACTCGCGCGGCGCACGCTTTGCCCCGCGCTCTGCAACGGGCGGCACCGCCGCGTCGAGCGGTGCGGTCACTGCTGCCAGCAGCAAAGCGGCCGTCACAAGCCCGCGTAGCCGCAGCCCCATGCTGTTCTTTGATGCAGGGCACGCCTCTCAAGCGCGGCCTGCCCTGTTCCTGGCCATCCTGCTGGGGTCACTGGCGGTTGCTGGCCCTCCACAAACTATACGAAATTTGAACAGGATGTAAGAAGTCTGTGGAAATTGGGGAAAAAAGGTATGTGATCTGTATCGATACCGCCGAGACAGAGCGCCCGCCAAATTTCCCTGCCATGTCAAAATAACTTGCATGCAGGTGTTAAACCCTTTCAGCTGTGAAGCCTCTGCTGTTCTTTTCTCCAGCAGAGAACGCGCTCCAGCTCGCTTCGCCCTCCACACCGGTGAGGCGGATTGCCACGGCCCTGGGATACATGAGAGGCGGAGGCTTGGTGATATACATATAGGCCAACTGCTTCCATCGCCGAGCAGAGGGCCGCATGGATGCAGGAGCGCCGGCAGCCACACCGAGTGTCAGGGGCAGCGTGCATGGGGCTGTGTAGTGGTGTGAACACAAGTAAAGACGCTCTGGTATCTCAGCAGCCGTGCCACGCCAGTGGGCCCGAGCGGCACGGAGCGGCGGCGCTCGCTGCTGAGAAAGCGCTGCTGGCGCCGCCTGTCTCGCGATCGCCGACATTGGCAAATTCTGCAAAGGCGCCGCGATCGCTCTTTGAAACGCGTTGATCAGGCGCTGGCGTGGGCGTCGCCGCAATCCGGCAGGCAGCAGGCTCGCTGATCTGACCCTCGGCCGATCCGCCGCCCACCCGCCCAACCTGCAGCCCGCCGCCACAATGGCCTCGGAGGAGCACCATGAGACGTTTGAGAGCACCGACGCCGGTGCGTCCCTGACGTACCCCCAGCAGGCGGGCTCCATCCGCAAGAACGGCTTCATGGTCGCCAAGGGCAGGCCCTGCAAGGTGGGGACGGACGGGACCGCTCGGAAGCTCCAAGACCCGGGGCCGCAGCTGCATTTGCGAAGCAGGGTGGCCGGCGCAGACGCCGGCGTCGATAGCGGCTGGGACTTCAGCGGGGCGACAGCTGCATGCCGTAAATTCCTTGAATCACGGCCCTGCGCATTCGCGCCCTGGGGCTGCCGCAGGTGGTGGACGTGTCGACCTCCAAGACCGGCAAGCACGGCCACGCCAAGTGCAACTTTGTGTGCGTGGACATCTTCACTGGCAAGAAGTACGAGGAGATGACCCCCTCATCCCACAACATGGACGTGAGTGGCACAACTTCTGCGACACAAAGGGCCCGCAGTGCATCGGGCTGCCCCCTACGCCCTCACTCCCCCCCCACTCTAGCCGCGCCTTGCACTGGCCAGCGATGCCTTTCCCGCGCCCGTCCGGTGGCATCTCTGCCACCACGCTAACCCAGTCACCTTACAACCCTTTGCCCCCCATCGTGCCGCCCTCAGGTGCCCAACGTGTCGCGCGCTGAGTACACCCTGCTGGACATCAACGAGGAGGGCTTTGTGAGTGGCCGTGTGAACTAGTTATTGGGGTTTTATTTGCGTTAGTTCCATCGATCGTTCCGACTCCTATCAAACGCGCGACGCTCGCACAACAGCGCCCGCGCCAGCCGGAGCACGCCCGGGCGGCACACGCCCCTGCCCCGCCGCTCGGCCACAGGCAGCGCCCACAGCAGCGCAGCCGCTCGTGCCCGGCGTGCCTTCACTGTTTTCCAGCCTCTTATGCGCTTGCCCTCTGCACCTGTGCTCTGCTGGCGCCCCCTGTGCAGCTTGCTAGCGGAAAGCCCTACGCCCCATCAAGGCATCTCGCACCCCCCCCCCCCAAAAAGTGCACCCTGATGCTTGAACGCACCTGCGCTCCCTTTCGTCTCACCCAACGTGATCATCTCGTACACCCTCCCCCAAAAGTGCACCCTGATGCTTGAGAACGGTGACACCCGCGAGGACCTCATGCTGCCCAAGGGCACAGAGGAGAGCGACAAGCTGGCGGAGACCATCAGGGAGCAGTTCGCCTCGGGCCAAGAGCTCGCGGTCGGCGTGCTCAAGGCCATGGGCGAGGTGCGGCGGCCGCGCGCGCATGCCTTTGCTTGGGAGGGAAGGGAGGGGTGGCAAGTCGCTGCGGCGGCAAGTGCCGTGAGCAGCTCTGGCTGCATCTGGCGGTTGCGGCGCCCTGCGCGGCGCTCGACGCCCGCCTTGAGTCCCTCACCTCGCGCCGCTGCGCCGCCTGCTGCCGTGCGCAGGAGATGATCAACTCGGTCAAGGTGGTCAACGCCTAGGCCCGCTGACAGCCACCTCGGGTCTATCTCGATCGCCGAAGCGCTGCGCGGGACTGCAGCGGGCTCCGCTTTTGGGCGGCATGTGCCTGTGCACAAGCAAGCGGCGCCGGCCGGTCAAGTTGGCCCTGCAGCTTAGAGGCAGGACGCCTGGGCCGCTCTCTGTTGGGGGGACCTGTGGGGGCCGCTGTGTGGACGGGGGCCGGCCCCTCCCTGTGTAGTGCAGCGCGGCAGGCCTACTGCTGCTGCTCGGGGCCGGCTCCTTGCGTGCAGATAGCTGTGCAGCAGCGGCAGCCGCGCCCTTGCGTTGCGCGGCGACCCAATCAATTGACATTGGTGGTCTGCCTCTAGCGTTTTACACATTCAAAACCGTCCCGGTCATTGTGCATGTGCAATGGCCCAACACAACGCAACAACCCCAGAGCGAGCGCATTTGGTAATTGAGCGATCGAAAGAAGAATCACGCAGCCAGCTCGGGTGCCGCAGCCGTCGCGCTGGCACTGCATTTGAGCCGTCACTCCCGAGCAGCTGCTGCAGGCGCCAGCGCTCCACTGCTGCCGCAGGGCGGCTGTCGGGACGGCCAGGCGGCGAGGCAGCCCCGCCGCAGGGCCGGCTGACGGGACGGTCACGATCACGCCGCCAGGTGGCGCGACAGCAGGCCCTCAAACAGCGCGTAAAGGTCGCCGTTGTCGCCGCCAAACAGCTCCCGCGCGCGCGCCAGCGTGCTGTCTCTGGACGCCTTGCCGGCGTTGAGCTCCTTGATGGCCCCCAGGAAGCTGGAGAAGGTCTCATAGGACAGCCGGGACCTGAGGGGGGGGGGGGGAACGGGCAGAGGCAGGGGCAGGGGCCTATGTGGGGGCTCTGTTCAAGGGAGCCTGAGGCAAATCGGAAGAGGCTAGGAGCTCGTGGGAGGCGATGCGCCAACGCGGCAGGAGTGCTGTGTGCAGAACCAGATGTCTTGGGATATTCCTCCTACCCCTCGCACCTTGCGGCCCGGAAGAACTCCTTCCCATCGATGCGCGGCGAGCCGGTTGGGGGCGGGGCTGACCCGGCGCCCTGACTGCCGCCGGTCGGCCGCGAGGGCGTGGCGAAACCCTCGGGTTGCTGCTGGTGGTGCTGCTGCTGCTGACGGTGCTGCTGCTGCTGGTGGTGCTGCTGTCGGCCCAAAGCCGCCGGGCTGCCAAATAACTGCCCACCTGCAAAGGGATTCAGCAAACCAGGTGGTGCGCATGGCATGGTGCTAGGCAGCCCAGGTGACAGTTCCTTCACACACACCCCCTTGGCCAGACAGCCCAAGTTGATGCACACCTTCGCTTGCAGCTCACCGCGTTGTGCCGCCGCCCCAAAGGAGCCCGTGCCGCTGCCACCACCGCCGCCGCCGCCGTGCTGCGCCCCGGCCGACCGCGCGGGCGACCCGTAGCTCCCCAAGCTCAGCGCGCCACCACCGCCGCCGCTGCCGCCGCCAGCCGCGCCGCTGCCGCCGCTGCCCAAGCCGCCGAGCCCAGGTGCCGCGCCCAAGAGCTTCGCGCCCGCGCTGCCCTTGCCTCCGGCGGCGCCGACGCCCTCCAGGGCTGCCTGCGGCGACTGGTCCGGCCCGAAGCCGTGGCAGCTGCTGAGCACGTCGTGCACGAGGCGCTCCGTCGTGCTGTCGACGGCGGCCAGCGACGTGGGCGTCGGGCCGCAGGCCTGCAAGCGCGGACGGCCGTTTGCCGCGGGGTTCGCGGGCGTTCCCTGGAGACGGCTCGGCAGCGGTGACCCGAAGCGTCGATCGAACGAGTAGGCAGGTTCATAGCACACCGCCAGTACACGCGAGGGCGCTGCATTCAGAGAGCAGTCAGCTGCGCTCAGGGCGCCGCGCCACCCACGTCATCGCCGTCGTCCTGCAGCTGCCGCAGGAGGTTCCGCCGGAACCCCTCCAGCCGCGCGACCTCCCTGTTGAGCCGCTTCACCTGGAAAGTGCAACGACACACACGCGCACACATGCTCAGCCCTGTGGCACGCTACATCCCCGCTACGCATGGCGGCGGCGGTGGCAAGGCGGCGCGCACCCCTGCCAGCTGAGCAGGCTCCGCAGGGCCCGCGGCCGCCGGAGGCGATGGGGCTCCCCCCATGCTCCCTACGCACAGTTTCTATCAGTGCGGCTTTCTCTGCTGCGAGGTGCTGCTGGTCTGCCACTGCCTGCCGGGCCTGCGGGGTTGGACGTGCGGCGCAGTATTCCGGTCTTTCACAGCAAAAGTCCCCATTCTTGTGTGGACAACAGGCTACCAGCGCCCCGCCCACGTCCTAGCCGCCCTAGTTTTAAAAGGAACGCTGAAAATGGGCGCGTACCCGCTGCTGCTGTTCCTGCAGCTCTTCCTCCAGGCCAGCGTTGCGCCGCTCCAGCGACTTGGTTGCCGCCTGGCTCTCGGCGAGCGCGTCGCGCAGCCGCGATGCTTCGGCTTGTTGCAGCTCCGCCTGCGGCCATGCGTACTCACGGTCGTTGCAGGAGGTATTGCAGAGAAGCTATGGGTCTGGTGGGATGCGCTGGTCCCTGCCGCACCTGCAGCACAAACGCGTTGTGGATGATCGACTGGGCGCAAGCCAGCTGCTCCACCGGCTCCGACGGCAGCGCTGCTGCCAAGTGCTGCGGCAGCGCGGCCTGTCTTGGATACAATGCATCAGGTGACATAGGGTTCATCACATACCCTGTATCGTTCATATGCGTCCTATCTCGGCAGCCTGGCTGTCGATCAACGTTGTTGAAAGATAGTGTGAACGGCGGGGTTTCGAGGGGATGCCGACGGACAGTCAAATGAAATTACTATGGTCACTGCGACAGCGCGGCACTCGTGCACGATACTGCACTGTACGGTACTTGAGCCCTCAGATCACTTACAATTTCTCCAAGCCCAAGCAACAGACGCAGGTATGTGGGCGCCCTGCAACTCTTTAATATAATGCCGTTCTTTAGTGCCTTCAAGGCACACAAAAGAATTCACGCAGGTGCAAGTGTACCGGTACAGCAGGGCCGCGTTGGTCAAAGCAGCGGCACGCCATAGCATGTGCTGCATGGGTTTGTATGCGCACCTCCAAGACCCTCCTCTGTTGTTGCACGCCACAGGCTTGACCTTTTCCTCAGCCTTTGCTGCTTGATTTACGGCATGCGGCAGGGGAGTATGAGATGACGACTTTGTCATGGGTGCCCGAGGCACTCACGGATACGGTGAACGCGATTCGCCGTGAACATGGATGTGCGGCTGCACAGTGCGCTGCGATGTGCGACTTGCTGCAGCGTCAGCAAGAGACAAGAGGCAGTGGGGGCAGACATCGGCTTGAACGCAGCGTCCACCGTGTGCCATCTGTCGAAGTGTGGGTGGACGAGGTCATCAGCCGCTTCGGCGCGCGCGGGCAAAACAGTATGTGTGCTTGGCCAGAAAGGGTGCTTATGGTCATACAGCCACTTGCTGCAGTTCATCACAGACTGCGTAGTGGCACCAGAGCAGGATGCAAAGCGGAGCGGAACGCAACGCTGCAGGCCTTAGAGGCTTAGGTTTGGGGGATTGCAGCGGCAAGAAAGCAAAAGCGGGGCACTTGCTGCCAGCTGCATCATGTCGGCTTATGTGCTTTGTGCGTTGCACCTGTGTCTTGCATTGTACCCGGAGTACAGTAAGTCCTGCAAAAACCTCACCCTCGCTCCCTCTGTTGTGCCTGCCACCTCCAAACCACCTCGTTGCTGCGCCCGCCTGTTGAACCATGCTGGGAGGCTTCAAGGGCAGGTGGCAGGCGGCAAACAAGGCGAGGGGGTGTAGGATACCTCACCAACATGAGGGAGAGGATGCCAAGCAAGGCGTGAGGAATACGACCAAGCCTGCTGCTGCTGCTGCTGCTGCTGCTGCTGCTGCTGCTGCTGCTGCAACATGGTTGATAAGTGGCCGCGGAGGGGACCGGGGGAGACAGCCACAATCAAGTTTGGGGGGGGAGGTTGATGCGGCGGGCTGACAACCCGTTTCTTGAGTCATTGCTGCGAGTGCAAAACTGTACTGCAGTTTTTGTGTTGTGTGCAGAAAAGCCCCTGTCGAGAGTGCCCTGCATACTGTACAGCTGTAATCCTCGAGGAGTGCAGCGCAGTCAAGGGCAGGAGCTGCCTCGCGCCTCCTTGCAACTGCAGAGCGTGGGTCAACTGAGGCAGGCAAGCAAGATGCTTCGCAGTCGCGCTGGCACGATCCCCAATGCAGAGTCCTGCGCTGGTGACGTTGACAAAATTACTATGGCTATATATGAAATGTGCTGGATGCAGTCCCTTGGCAATTGGGGTAAAAGGTCAAGAGGCGTTTTGAATAGACATGTCTTTTGCAGAAGCATGTATGCCGCCCTGGCGGCCGGCCTTCATAGTGTGTGCGTTAACCCTGGCGCACGTCCCAAAAGTTGTCAGCAGTAGTCCACGATACGGAACTCCATATTCGAAGGGGTGATCACCCAACAATAGCGAGGAGGGCGCCTTGCACCTGTGGGAGAAGGGCAAGAGGCAGATCAGCCTCAGGACAAGCCACGCCCGAAAAGCAACCTGCCGGCCAGCCGTAGGCCTAAGCAATTAAGAAAGTCGAGCCTCAGCACCCCCGTTGCACCAACCCCCCAGCTGGGTCGTTTTCAGGCTGCCCGACACTACGCCGCTGTAAGTGCAAGCAGGTCTCACCGCGGGGATGCTGGTGAGGACGGTGGAGATGATGCCCACCAGGGCGTAGCTCAGGGCGCTTTGGAGGGTGGGGGATGGGGGGTGGGGTGGAGGTCGGGGTAAAGGACGGGTGAGTGGGTGGTGGTTGGGGGCCGATAAGGAGGGGCAGGGGCCACTCCCGGTCCTGAGACCAGGAGCCTAGTTTGGCTTATTGGGTAAGGCTAGTCCGAGGGGACCAACGGCGACGCAAAGCGGCAGCGGCAGGGAGGCAAGCAAACGCACGCCCCACCGCCAGCCCCGCGGGCGGCGCCAGTGCGGCGCGCGGCCGCCCACCAGAAGGGCAGGGCCTCGGGCTCCTTGGACACGAGGCTGGCGGTGCCCAGGCCGCCCGCTGTGGCCGCCGCGGACAGGCCCCTGCGGCAGGCGGCGAGGGGGCGGCGCGGACGGGGGCACGGTGAGGCGGAAGTGCGGCTTGGGCTCATGGAGAGGACTCGAACAGGAAAAAAAGGGCTGCGGGGCCAAACGTGGGTGTGCAGACCTGCAGGTCTGGCAGCAGGGAGGGCTCAAGGGCTCCCGCATGACTGCAGGTTTTGGGTGCGGCGGCCGCCCACCTGGCGATGGTGTCCTTGATGCCAAAGGTTGTCATAAGGCCGGGGCCAAAGTTGGCGCCCTGAGGGTGGGTGTTTGTGAGGGGGGTCAGGGTGGGTG